AAATTTTTGCTGTCGATAGGATTTGAACACCCAACCTACCACTTGGAGGGTTGACAACCTGACCACTTCACTAGGTCGCCACACTCTACATATTTATCCTATTTTGTGATTCATGATCTGTATTGTAGATATATATCTGAGCAAATTGAGACTGGCTTTCAGGATCAAAAGAAAAGGCACCTATTCTGTAATGCACTTCTCTATGAATGTGAACAGTATAAACACCACTAGTTCCTGTAAACTGATTATTAATATTAGCTCCTATAGATGTAAAAGATAATGCAGAATTATATATTCAGATATTGTGTTGAAATGAACATGCATGTGGATCTGTCTTAGTCAGAAAGTTATTAAGAAAAGTTGGTAGATTTTGAAAAGGTGGAAGAGTAACTTTCCTTTTGCACAGAAAGTAGAAAAAATAGGCATTCTTTTTGATTGGTTTACTTGTTCATCTAACTACATAAGAGCTCTACAATAATAGCATTTTTGATCCATTCTATCTAGCATATGACCATCTAAACTGTGTGAACTCCATAAATAGGTATGTGCTCATGGAATCTACAATAAGGTATTCATTAAAGGAACAGCTATATCTTGTTCTATACCAGAAGCAAGCATTAAATTGCTATTATTATTAATTTTGTTTCTTTTTTGTTAACAACATTTTTGTTAACAACATTTTTGTTAATGACATTTTTGTTGATGTTCATGTTGTAATCTTTTCTGATGATCTTTAAAAGTTTCACCATTCATAGTTGTATATGAAAGTTATTAAGGATAAGTAAATATTCTAGATTTTTTTAAGATCTGATATGCTTAAAAAAAATATAACATGTTATTAACATATAATCTCTTAATAACATTTAAATTTTAAATATACATTGACAAAAGATTATTTGATAAGAATTTACCCCTTGAACTTTAATGAAAACATGTATCTAGTCTAGTGATAGGCAATGCATATAATATGCACATTTTTATATGCATGAAATTATAGAATCATGTACATAATTTTTATATATACTTATAATGCTAGCAAAGCAATATGCATAATGTTGATAGAATATCTAATTACTATGCATAGATTTATTATGGTAAGTATTATTGTTATCACAATTGCTATATATATGATTAAAGTTCTATGTTAACAATTATATATATTTAATATATATGAATAAAACTTTATTTATTTAAAACTTTTTTTTTTAATAATTAAGAATATATATATTATATGCTCTCTCTATCCAAGCTTTACAAAAATAATTATTTTACAATGAAAATTATTTAATCGCATCAAATCAAGATTGCATATAATCAACTTTACAATTCAATATAGTTGTATAAATTAAGATTCCACATCATGGAAATCTAAAAACATTTTCAATCAAATTAAAAATCTGTTAAAATTACTTGATCAGACAACTATTTAATTTATCTTGTATATTATATACTCAATCTCTTTATCGGCTTCTTATCAATAATCATATCAAAGTGTGTTAGGTTCTTTAAATATGTTATAAATGGTAAAAATTATCAAAAATAAAGTAAAGGCACATTCTATCAATGTATAAGCATTGCTGTTTTTAGTTATTATAAAAAAGTACTATAGCAACTTCGATGAAATACATTATAATTACAACTTTTTCTTGATATTATTATCCTCATCTTCGCTCCTATTTTCATTTTCATTTTCATCTTCAGTTTTATTTTTGTTTTCATTCTCACTTTCATCTTCATCTTTGTCTAACAGCATAAAATATGTCCCAAGTGGCAGTTGTTTCTCCATTCTCTTAAAAGCATATTTGTACACCCTATATTCACTTTTTTCTATACTTTTTCACTATTTTTCAACTGTATAAAGACTGTCATACCTATACCTAATAATCACAAAATGTAATATACAATGATTTTGACCAGATTTTCAGTTCAATAAATTATATTGATATTTACAGATACTTATCCTTCTTTTGGTGCATATTCTTTGTCTAAACAAAAACTCAAATTATATATATATAATATTATCTACCAAGTTATAGAAAATATAATGATAATGTACACACTGAATTACATGAATAGGTCTTTTTGTTTTACAAGAAATCTTTAAAGCAAGATTGTCCATAACTAGTTCCTGATCTTTCAACTACAAACATTAAAAACAAATACAATAATAACAGTTTGAATTTATCATCATACAAAAATCAGATTATTAACATACTTGTAGTGCAGTTCTTAAATTCTTTAGATTACTCTTGGTGCTTTTTAGGTCTTTGCCATCAGAAGCAGTATAAGTGAAAGCTTTTTCTATTTTGCAAATATGATAAATATGTTCAAAAATTGAATAAGTAAGCATTTTTACATCATTCTGATCTGTATATATACTTCAATTGACATCATCTTCATATCTCTGTAATATTAGCAAACATTAATAACAATAATATGTAATTGTTCTAATCACGAATATTGAAGTATTATAAACTTAACCTCTGATAAGGTGATACTCATTGCATCTTCACCTTCATTTCATGCTATTCCTACAACTGTGGTCTAATTTTAAAATCAATTCACCAGACATATAGAATCATAACAAATTGCATATACTTTGGCATAAATTTACTTATACATAAACTTCAGAATGGCAGCATGCCATTCTTGTCAGCCACCAACTTTCAACCTCATATTCTGAAAGGTTGCCAAATTGATGAGGATCTGGCTGGTTTTGGTGCCAATTTGGGTCACTTTTATAAATAGAACTTTTTGCACAATAGCTTTTTGCTGATTTTTATCTTCGATTCTCGCAAAAAGCATATTTTCACTTAAATTTTTGCTAGCTATTTATAAGTTATATTATATTTTCTACTACTAATAAAAAATAAACTATTTCATATTGCAATATTAATATTGAGTACTTCATAAAATACTGGTATGTTGTCTATAAAACTTGTCTCTAACCTATTAATAAACATGGCATATTATTATATTGCAGATTACACATTATAATATAGCAGTCTCAGAATCATACTTTATATAGTTTTCTAGAAAAGCAAGTATATTCTTTTTATCTAGATATGATTCTTTAACTGAATTTAGGATTTTGTTACAAAGCAGAACATACATATAGTATATACATATACCAAAATTAGATTATTTACATTTATTTATATTGAGTACTCTAAATATGACAGTGCATAAATTGTATAACTATTAATGATTTTAAATATATGGATTTTATTTGTTTATATTGTAGTAATAATTTCTAAGTATAATTTTCAAAAAATTTTGTTTAATTTAAAGGTTTTTAGACTAATTAGAAAAGTTTGAAAAAAGTTTAAGCTTCAGGTAAACTAATTGGATGTTTAGAAAATTCTAATAGGCACTAAAAAGATGAAATTTCTGAGTATCTCAGCAAATATTTCTAAAATTACTAATGAAAAAACTTACAAAAAATAAGTTTTTGTTTTTGCTTTTTACTTATATTTCTATGTGGTTTGGTCTGTTTTGAACAAAATATATATCAAAATGTCTGGCTTAATGAGTTGAACAACTTTTAAATAGGCAATATAATAGATTTAATTAGTAAAATATTGAGTAAATAGACAAAAACCAAAAATATAGTTTTTGAAACTTCTTCTAGCACTCAAGTATTATTAGAACTTAAAACACAGCTGCCTAGGAATAAAAATATATGCTGAACAACTTTATTTAAAAGGTAAATAAAATTTACTTAGTAAAATATTGAGAAATAATTAAATGTTTTTTTGTGTTTTTTTTTGGTATAAGTGATCTATGGAAAGAGTTCTTTTTTTATTATTAAATATTAGTAGTTGTAACTTCATTTATGGGAGATTTTATTAGAAATTGTATAAGTAACTATATAAATTATAGAGCATTAAATTTTGTGCCAAATAGTTTCAATGCTTTTATCAATACTATTGTTAATAGGAGTTTTGTATAGTAAAAGTTGTTGAGTTAAAGTATTAGCAAAGAAGTTTTAGTCTTCTGTAATCATTATTTTATAATTAAATATATGATAGCTAATCTTAGTATATTTTTGTAAAGATTTACTATAAGCATGTGAAAATGTCCAAGTAGAGATAAGAATCAAGTAGTCATTAGAGATAGAGATTTGACTGTTGTTAAGACTGTAGAAAAGAAAAAATTGTATATTGAATTGGTCAGTTCAGATGTAGTCAATGTGACTACTACTAGTACTATTAGTCCAAATAAAATGTTTGTTGTTAAAATAAACTTCAATATTATACATATTGAAATAATTAAGAAAATTAATAAGTTTATATTTGGAAAAAAAACTGTAAGTATAATCTTGTGTATTGAAATTATCAAGAATAATAGAATGAAGATGGAGTTGAGAATCTTGTTAAATCCAGTTGATTACTATGTTTTGAGTTTGGTTGTAAATAGCTGTATTAGTAGATAAAAGGTATACTAAGATAATATAAAGTTTAATATTACTTTGAAAAAAAATATCAAGTGCAATAACTCTGTCTGGGCAAGTATAAACACTGTGAATATAAGATTTAAAATGATTATAAATTATGATGGCTGTTCCTTCTACAGAAGTAGAAGAGTTAGACCAGTAATAGGTGAAAAAATTATTGTTGCAGAAAAAAGTTTAGTTTTGTCAGAAATTTTTGTTTTAGTAATACTGGCAATATATATGTTATTATTAAAACAGTAATCTTGCTAGGCTTCTCTTTTTGTTAAGTTATTAAAATCTTTAACATTGTGTATAGCAATAGTTAGATTAAGATAATGAGAACTTGGGTCAGAAGAGTGTAAAGTAGAATTATAGTTAATAGTATTGAGTAATGGTTATTAGAGAAAAAATCAAATAAAATAAAAGTAGAGCTAAAAGAGTTGGATTTGAGAAGAAGGTTATAGAATAGTAGAAAAAGATGTAAAGCAATAATAATATGATCTGACAAAAGAATGGCATTAGAAAGATATATGTGAGTTTCATTATAAGATGAATTAACAGAAAATGTAATACTAGATACAGTTTTGTTATTATTATATTTGTCAATATGTTGTATTAAAGTTTGAATAATTTGATTATGAGAGAGAAATAGAAATTATAATAAAGAAGTAATTTGTTAAAGCATAATAAAGATTATAGAGAATTAAAGATGTTATAAATGATCTTTCAAAATTGTCTTCTACAGAGTTGATTACCAATGCTCAGCTTTTACAGCTGTGCAAGGTACCATAGTCTGCCCTGTATGTTGAATCTGACTGTCATTAACATGGCCTTCCATATTCTTAGTAATTATTGTAATTAGTAATAAAAATCAAATAATTATATATTATTTAGCAAACTTATATAATTATAAAATTATTTTTATTTTTTTATATTATAATATAAACATATTTATAATTATAAATTGCCAAAGCACACAATCTAAAAAATATTAAAAATATAAAAGAACAAATTAATGATAACATAGCCAAAAGATATACTAAACTCTAAAATAGTTCAATATCAATAATTAATAGTAGATTAATCGACACAAAGATCTTGTTAAGTTTGATAATATTAAAGAATCAAACAATATTTTTACTAAATTATAATTTATCAAACAGCACATTTAACAACATTTTGTTAATTGGATATTATATCATCTAATCCTTCCTTATTTTCAACCTTTAGGAGTTAATGTTTTTGCATATAATATTTTACAAATTAAAAAAAAAACTTAAATCTTAGCTACTTATCTATAATAATAATAATAAAAAGATTATTATTAGCAAAATTCACAAATATCTTTCAAACATAAACCAGTTTTCTATCTTATATTGGAATATAAATATTGTCTTAGAATATAATTACTATTAGCTTCTTCTAGAGTTAAACTGCATACTATATACTGGATGGCATCTTAACTCAAACAGAGTTAAGTAAACATGCATAATTAACATTTTAGCAACTATTTATACTAGCTTTCTATTAAGAAAAATTTTCAAACTTAAACTTAATGCTAACTATCTAGATCTTATTTATTCAATAGCAATTAAATATCCATCATGAATTACACATAACTATTCTATTATCAACATATCAAACTCTACTATTACAGAACTTTTTAAACCTAATGACTGCTCAAACAAACTTGAAGAAATTTTTTTAAACAATTTGCCATATAAGAAATTTACTTTTTATACTAACAGATCAGTATTTAATATTGAAATTAAATAAAGCTTAATGTGTATTTAATGGATCCAAATTAATAATAACAACCAAGTTTTTCATAAATTTTTAGCTAAAATCTATCTTTGGCTATTAGCTTATAAGGCAGAGCTTTTCTTTATTTTATTTGCATTCTCAACCATACTTTGTAATACAATACTTCAAATTTATACTGACTTACAATCAGTTATTTCTAAGTTCTACAAACTCTCTACTTAACTTAATAACTCTAACAAACTCTTTAAATTTATTACATAGCCTTTATGACACAAACTTTTTAATATTATTAAATCCTTTAATTTAAATATTAACTTTCACAAGTTTAGGCTCATACAAATAATACTTTTAATAACATGACTGACTCTTTAGCAAAACAACATATCTTCTCTCTTTCTTTAAACTTTCAATATACAAATATTTACAATCTTTTTTATATTCTACAATGAGAACAAAATCCTGTTAAGCTTTTTATCCAATACTTTATTAAAAATATTTGTAAAGCTCACATACTAGCAATGTTATTTTTGCAAAAAAGAAACATTAATCACTACTTAGACTGAAAATCAATATGATTATATCTCAATCATAACCAAAAACTTTTATCTAATTTTACTAGCTTCAAACTTAATCAATCTAAAGACTTTAAAATCAAAGCTTTATTAAACAAACTATCAATATACTTTTCTTTTTATAATATATATCTAACTATCTTTGCAAATACTAACTACTTCTAATATAATCTTTTTAACAATTAGTTATACTGGTTGACTTGTCTCAACTCTTTTCTTTTTACAAACATTATTAATTATTAATTCAGTATACTTTATCTAAAGCAGATCTTAACCTATCTACTAGTTAGCTTTATAAACTTATTTGCAAAATTCAAAAACATCTTTCATTTGACTGAATACTATTTCAAGCAAACTTTTTTTATCTTGACCTAATTCTTAAAGGCCTTATATCTAAAATCTTAATTAAAATAATTTATACTATAACATATCAACTAAGATAGCTTTACAAATTATTATTTAAATACTCCTTAATATTAATAATCAATATACAATCAAATATAGAAACTATACTGCATTGACCTCTCTAACTAAAAAAATATTATTATTACATCTTTTTAAACTTAAAACATTTACAATACTTTACAACAGATACAACAAACCAAATATTACAAAAGATTATATACAAGCTATACATACTCATGTTTATATGAAATAGCAGATTAATTACACTTATGTCTTAATATCTATTTATCAATTGAACAGGCTATTAGAAAAATTAATATATGGCTAACATTCTGAATTAATTATAGCACATTCTACAATTATATTCTAATATTATAAATTTAGGTAGGCCTTGACTACCTTAGTCAGTTTAGGTCACAGATAAAGTTGTCTAATCTTTAATTCTTGCATATAGTTTTTATTTTGTATTTTACAATCTTAGTATTTTTTTTTTATTTAAAGCTGATGTTATTAGTAGCTACTATCTTTATTTGTGTTTTTGGTTAATGCATTACATATAACTTGTACAAGATAAGTAAGCAACTAGCTATACATATAACTTTTGGTTACCTATTTAAGTAGTTCATCTAGGATTTTACACTAGCTATTATGCCTGTAACCTACTAGAAAAATACTTATTTGAACACTCTGATTTTTATATTACATCCAGACAAGTAACATCTAGTTTCTGTACAACTAAGTGCCATTTAACCCAACATTTTGCCTTTCCTTTTTGTATATCTGTTAAGCTATTACACATTTCAGAATACATTATCTAACTGTAAGGTTTTAGGATATTTTCTTGTTAATTACCTATCTACTCTACAGAACATTAATAAGGCTAGCCCTTGTAGAGTTTATCCAAATTCTAGCATCTACTTCACAGCCTATCACTATTACTTTTATCATACCTCTGCTTTGATCTCAAACTTCCAATCCAAATAGCTTAGTAGAACTATAACCTGTTCTTAATATATTAAGTTAGCCTAATATTCTTTTTTTCTAGTTTGGTTCTGACCTGGTTAGTGATACTCTTCATCTAAGTTTCTTGTCTGTCCAGTTCTTTTATATTGGTATTTCTTTTCTAGATCTAGTCTTTATAGTAATATCATAAATATCTGTGTTTTTTTCTACTTAGATCTTTTCAAATAGGCTTCAGTTTCCCAGTTTTACAGATTTACACAGCTACATGAACTTATTTTGGGTTTGCACTGCCTGGTATTGGTTTTAATTCCTTTGTGTAACCAAGATTACAAAGATGCCCTATAACCTGCCAGTTATGCTTATGCAATTATAGTTACAAGTATTCTATTTCAACTAATCAACAGAATGTTGTTATAATACCATTTATATATTATATAGGTAATTATTCAAATTTTTGCTATAAATAGATTTTGAACTCACAACCTACTAGTTAGAAGTTAACAACTTATTTACTTTACTAAGTTGTCATATCCTCTTAGTATATCTTTAATATATAGTATATTAATATATACAACTAAAATTACTAATAAAGATATAAGCAAGGCAGTAGGGGCAAAAAGGGAGTTCCGGTGTCACTTTTCTACACCTTTATATGACATATTGTTAAAAATCACTTTAATCATTATCCTGCTATATTTTATAGCACTTTTATATACTTTAGCTTAGTCTAAATTTTTTATATAGCTAGAACACATTTATTTACTCAAATTTATATCAAAAAAGATAACATTTTATTATAGTAGAATATAAATCTGCACTTGTATCATCACTCAAATGATGATAAATTTGTGTCTGCATTGTTATTCTAGTATAGTGATATTAATTTTTATAAAGTAGAAGCTTCTGAGCCTTTTCCTGAAGTCTATTAATATACTGAGTTACATAATATCCATTAGCATGCTTTCTACAAAGCCAGGTTTAGAGCTAGTCGGTTTACCACAAACTTTGCAAGAAAAACGCTTTCTAGCCTTCCAATGTTCATGGCATTCTTTAGGCTGACAACAAGTATGTCCACAAATAACTCCAGTTCTGAGTAAATAATCACAAGTATATTTACCTATCATGGTATATAAATATGAATAATTTTAATTTAAACAAAAG